TCCAGCATTTACAGATAAGGGAAAGTTCCTCTTAGCTGCACGGAGATATAGGCATGGTGCTCATACCGAGTATATAATATCTCTTGATGCTGAAGAATTATCACAAGGAAACAATGCATATGTGGGGAAGTTAAGGTAAGATATTATTGTTGTTGAGAGAAATCTTGTCGGAACAAATTGTTTGTTTTGGTGCTTGCTCTTTGCAATCCTTAGTTTTTACACTAGGGATACAAGTTTGTTTTCTTTGTTTATGGTCTAAAAGTTCAAGCATCTTCTTATGCGGTTTATTATTATTGTTTCTTATTCTAATGTTTAATTATAATTACGATTGTTTTGAGGTACTAATTTAAAGGGAAACTTCCTGAACAAGAGGCTTAAAAAGAGTTCTTCCAGTTGGAATGTGTAGTTTGAACAATAACTGCAGCAATATTTATGACTTGAGAGAACTCCCAATGTAATCTACCTATATCGAAAACAGTATCTTACATTGATTGAGCCACAGTATGAAATACGGTTCTTGCTGAAAGAGAAGCCATGTAGATGGTTTGCAAAGAACTGCTTGATGCTGCCATGAGTTTACTTTAGATAGTTTAAACCTAAATTAGGGAGAGATCAGTAGTTAAGAAATCTTTGTTCTTTTTTTCTTTTTCAGTAATATGTGCAAAATTATTTCATTGTTAGCTTTGTAAAATTGCAGCTTGAGTGTTCTTGGTACAATTTTTAAAAGTAGCATGTTTTTTCCTTAATAACATGCACTAAGTCGATACCCCATTTTCTGATCACTTTGCAGCTCTGATTTTCTTGGCACCAATTTTACTATTTATGATAGCCAACCACCACACAATGGTGCAAAGCCATCGAGCAGTAAATCGAGCCGCCGCTTTGCAAGCAAGCAAATCAGCCCACAAGTGTCTGCAGGTAACTTCGAGGTTGGGCAAGTCTCCTACAAATTTAATCTTTTGAAATCAAGAGGTCCGAGGAGGATGATGTGCTCTCTAAAGTGCCCAGAATCAGAAGAATCTGTGACCAGCAAACCCTGCGAGAACTCGATGATGAAGAAATCTGAGTCTTTTTCTTCCTCATCAGGGTCGACAATCTTACGAAACAAGGCTCCTAGGTGGCATGAGCACCTGCAATGCTGGTGCTTGAATTTTCACGGTCGGGTGACAGTAGCATCTGTTAAAAACTTTCAACTTGTTGCTAGTATTGACCATAGCCAGCCAGGAGGAGGTAAAGGGGACGAAGAAACAGTCCTACTACAGTTCGGAAAGGTAGGCGACGATACCTTTACTATGGATTATAGACAGCCATTATCAGCTTTCCAGGCTTTCGCCATTTGCCTTACGAGCTTTGGCACGAAGTTGGCGTGCGAGTAGTAGTAGTAGTATATTGTGTACCAAAATTTGTTTACTTAAGAAAACGGTGGCTCTATTGAGACAGGCTTTCCTCTGTACATGGTGCTATTATGGTGGAATTGTGACCACTTAAAAATTGAAGTTCAGAGCAACAAACCAATATTGCGTGGTGCTAGCAAGCGCTATGGCTTCTCTAAATCTCTATGTATATGTGATATATATATATATATATAAAGTACAAAGGATGAGAATTGTTGATTCATCTCAATGTTTAGGTATTGCTGCAGTTGTATTTCAACACTCGTGCCCAATTCATTCATTTTATAGGTTTTTTATTTCCTTTTAGTTTTATGCTGTCATTGAAAAATGATTTTTAAATTTTTTTTTTTGTAACTCATCTCTCTCGGACAGTGAAGCCATTTTATTGGAGAAAATGGTGTGGAAATCTCTCTCTAGCGGAAGTTCGAAAGAAAGACAATATACGCTAGTGGAGGGTTTGAGTTATTACAAGTGATATCAGAGTTAGATATCGAGTAATGTGTCAATGAGGAGGCTAAGCCCCAAAGGAGGTGGACACGAGGTGGTGTGCCAGTAAGAACACGGGGCTTTGAAGGGTGTGGATTGTGAGATCTCCAATCGGTTGGGGGGAATAATGAAACCGCTATATCTACTATCAGTGAGGTGGTGGGCTTGAGCTGTTGCATGTCTCCACTTAAAAGTATATCATATCTTTTTTTTTTTTCCTTTTTTTTCATAAGATCAAACCCAGTGTAAAATTAAAATTAAAATTCAAAAGCATATTAAAAACATTTTAAAGCCTATAAATTAACTGCCTAAAATTTAATGGATTCATTCTATAATCGAACCTAACTAATATGCCATAAATAATGTAATATTTGGAGTTCATCTTAGGGGCTTTTAAAGCAGATATTGAAACGGGCTTCTTTTATGGGCCCAAAACGAAACAGGCCGAAGGCCCACTGACAGAAAGCTCCCCGATCGGCAGAAGCTCTGAGGGATCTCCGCTCTACTGCAACGATGGAAGCACGATGGCGATCGAAGATGAGGATCGCCATAGTCCACCCAGACCTCGGGATGGGTAACAACGTCAGTTTTTGTTTTCTTTCAACTGATTCAATTGCTAAATTTCGATCAAACTCTCTCTTTTTCATGATTTGTTGCTTAATTCTCTGTATTATATCGAATCGATTGGTTGATTCAATTGTAGACGCTGCTGTTGAACTTGTTCGCATTGACACAATGTCCATATTTTTCAATCTCACCATTGAAGAAAATCGGAGGTTTGAAGAGACTATTATGGTATGCTTCCTTGCTTTTTCTTCAATGGATTAGCTATTGGAAATAGTATATAATCGGAGTTTAGAAGGAACATATTCTTGTTTCTTTAAACTTAGACGACTTCTAAAGGTATTCTCTAGGCTTGAACGGAGCAGAATGAGGCATTTGTTTTAGATAGATGAGGCTCTGATATAGGAAAAATTTGTCCATGTATCAACTCCTATGCTGAGAAATTTTAATGGCCCATTTTGCTTTAGTGATTGGTTCTTGTAATTTTCTTCAAATTTCTTCTTTAGTATTTCACAACATTTCATTCTAATATGGTGATTTCCTATCTCGCCACACGCCACCATGCAGTTTGTACATATCTACGGTGTATTTTTGTTACTCTTTGCATGTTGTTTATGTGGCCATCGTTTGATGTCATATCACACTAGCAGATCAGGTTTCTGTTGTTGTTCCAATACTTAAACTGAAAGGGTCACCAAAGATATGGACCTTTTCCCAAAGTTGTCCGGATATCTCTTTATCATGGTTAACCAAAGAAGCTGCATGCTTATTCAGGTTGTATTTTATTGTCATTTTCTGGATCTCTTACTGGCCAAGCCCTCATCCATTTTGAGGTGAGGAGGCTGTATACGCAACCGCTCATCGCTACTAGATATTCTCCATTTCAGCCATTGCCATCAGCTTCACGGTTTTAAAATGCGTTTACTAGGGAGAGGTTTCCACACTCTTATAATGAATGCTTCGTTCTCCTCTCCAACCAATGTAGGATCTCACAATCCATCCCACTTGGGGGCCCAGTGTCCTCGCTAGCATACTGCCTGGTGTCTGGCTTTGATACCTTTTGTAACAATCTAAGTCCACTGCTAATAGATATTGTCCGCTTTGGCCCGTTACGCATCGCCGTCATCCTCATGGTTTTAAGACGTATCTTTTAGGGAGAGGTTTTATACCCTTATAAAGAATGTTTCGTTCTCTTCTCCAACTAATGTGGGGTCTCACACATAATCCATAGGCTTAATTGAAGAACTGAAAACTGGTATGGTTTCTGATAGTTAATTCTACTTCTTTCAATTCTTATCTTTATTCATTATTACATTCATCCATACTCTTCGATGTTTACATTCATCACTTTTCATAATCACAGGAGTGGCAGATTTGACATTGGTTCATAGCAAATTTACTGCTTTCCACCGTTTGCTAAGGCATTCAAACATCTTAATGCACGAGGAATTCAGCCTGCTGTTCTTTATCCAGCAGTCAATGTATATCAGTTTGATGAGTCCCATTCTTGTAAGTAACATGTTTGTATATCTCTTGTTCCTTTGAGTTGAAAAACCTTTTATTGTGATCTACAATATGTAAACATACTTTTTTTTTCATTAAAAAATTATTGTTATTATTCTTTTACTTATTAAGTAATTCTCTGTTATATTCTTTTCAATTCTTATAAATTCATTTACATTGAATTAGCTATTTCAGCCTTTGCCAAGCTCGGCACAGTTGAAGGAGGCATTCTTCAAGATTACAATGTAGCTGATGTTTCCATAGTCATTGTTGGCGAGTCTCAAACCATTTTCCCTGTCACCATTCAAGTTAAGTGCTCTTAAAAGCACTTCAAGACAAGTAAGTAACGTGATCATGTCGTAAGAGATATAGGAAAATTTTGGGACCTATCATGTGCCAAATCTAAATTTCAAATCCTAAACATGTAGCGTTACGATCTTGACCATAGTTATTAAATATTACAACATTCACTTGGAGAATGATATCAAATTCTCATGAATTTTATTCAATCTCAAGTAGACACGTCTTTGAGAACATTATCGTTTTTGCAAGAACATTATCTTTATATGAACACAACGACATGTCTTATTTGTTTAAAATCATTTAAAATTGTACAACTATAGGTGCATCTAATCAAAATTAACACTTATTGATTTATGAAACTTTTCCTACAACAATAATTAACTCGTATATTTGTTTTAAACACTATGATCTTACCAAATTCATTCACATGAAAATAATTCAAATATACGACACCTGAATAATCATCAAGTATTCGTTTTCTAGTTCATCGTCTACAATGATTGCCAATTTATTTTTTTATTACTGTTGAGGCATCTTACCTTATGTGGCCCATATCAACCAATCTCTTTCTATTTATAATTGGTTAAAGATTTTAGTTTGTAAAGGGAACAAATTGATAATCTGAATGAAACACCAGAGGGATACGGCTGCTTCTCAAATTCTTCAAAACTTTCCTTTGGCTGAAACGAAGCCCTGCTTACTGTATTATCTTTTGTTTCCTTTGGTTGATATAGTCTTTATAAAACCCTCAAATAACTCCTTTGTTTGATGCAGGCAAAATAGAGTTGATGAAAATGAGCACTGAAGGGAGCAAAATTGATATCCATAGTGTTCTTCCTGACAAGTACAGAGCTAACTTGCATTTGGAGCATCCCACTGTTCAATGGAGGTATGGGAAGCCTCCCACGTATGAAAGTGCTAACCAGCTCTTTGAAGAGGGCCGAACCAAGGTTTTTTTCCTCCTCTTTCGTACAAAGAAAACTTTCTTCTCTTTCAAATCTTGTGTGTAATTTAAGCTGTTTTTGTTTGTTTATGATTAGGTGTGGCCAAAAGGATCTCTGGAAGAAACAGTGCAAAATGTTGTGAAATCATGGCAAGTGGAGATTAACAACAAGGCTAGATTACAAGATTTCAAGACCATAAACCCTGAAAAATTCAAGCTTTTTGTCAATGGTAAACAGAGTTTTTGGATGAAGGATTTGTCCACTGGAATGATTAGGTTAAAACTGACTACTAATAACAAAGTTTATCCTAAATTGATAGCACAAAATTTACCCTTTTGATATGTAGGAAGAGAGGGGCTGTCAGGAGAAGAAGTGCTGGGGGACGGAACCTTCAATGCCATGCTGAAGAGTTCTCTACCAGATGAGTATAAGTTTTACAAAGCAGAGGAAGAGACACATGAATCAGCTCATAATGACTTCAAAACATGTTTTCCAAGAGGGTTTGCATGGGAAGTCATAGAGGTTTATTCTCCTCCTCCTTTGATTGCCTACAAGTTTAGGCATTGGGGTTTCTTTGAAGGTCCTTACAAAGACCATTCCCCTACTGGTGAAATGGTTCAATTCTACGGCATGGGAGTTCTCAAGGTAACGTCGCGATTCAATAACGCCCTTTCTTATCAAACATATTCATATTTTACGCCACGATAAAAAAAAAATCATTATGTAATCTGAATCATGAAATAATGACTTAATTTTTCAAAAAATTATAAGAACATCTAAAAAATCATTATGTAATGATTGATATTTGCGCAGGTAGATTCATCGATGAAGGTTGAAGAAGTTCATGTTTACTTTGATCCAACAGAGCTATATGGAGGTCTTTTAAAGGGCAAAAGAACAGCTTCTGAATCAAAAACTGCAGATTCATCTGCCTCTGCCTGCCCACTCTTCAATCTCCAGAAGTAGTTCCAAAAACAAAAATGTTGGTCTAAGTTTCAATAATAAATCCCATGTGTTCAATAATCTCTGCATAAATTCGTTAGTGATTTCGAGAGGTTTCTACGTCTGAATTTACTAATTACTTGGATCTTTAAGTTCGAGTTTGTCTAGTCTGCGTATGTCAAATCTGTGTTGAGTTAAATATGTATCCGTTGTGTTAAATATGTATCCATTGTGTTAAATATGTATTTGTATCGTATAAAAAAATAAAGTGAGTTTGCTAGATCTATATTACGTGTTTGAATATTAATTTGTTAAAATAACACCTCGTAAATAAGATATTGTCATTTTTTTACTTTCCCTTGAAGTTTAAAAATGTGTCCAAGAGATTTCTACACTCTTGTAACAAATGATTCATTCCCCTCTCTGATTGTGAGATTTCACAGTATGGAAGTATTGTATGTCTTTTCTTACTAAACCATGATTTTATGTGAGACCTTATGCATATTGTGTGTACATCGAGCAGTGATTACTTCTTCTCATATATTGTATAGACATGTACTTAGAAAAATGATTTTGAGTCCTATTTCTTCTCATGGTTCGTGACTGCTGGCTTAGGGTTATGAAGATAGGGTAATCACCTAGTAGGTCCACGTGCATGTGCTTAGACCGTGAGTAGAAAAATATTATATGCATCCAAACCCACCTAGAAACAGTGAGTTTATTAAGTATTACTTATCATAATATTATTAACTATTTTCAGGGTAAAAGTAAGAAACTCACGTACAAATGACTACATTGGTAGAATTGGTCATGGACAAAGTCATCCACGGTAACTAATTTTTTTTCTTTCAAGATGTTACTTCAACCAAACTATTTAATTACATAAATTCCACTTAATTTACTATTAATTAGTTAATTAATTAATACTTTTATTTAATTTTTAGAGTAGGTTAATAAATAAATAATTAATTAATATAATTTCCCTTGATATTTTTTATAGTTGAGTTTATACTTATACCAAGATCAATATTTTAATTGTATTGATAGTTAAGTGTCCATATTTATTTTATCTTTATTCTCTACAACTTGTGACATATAAATGTATGAATTTCGATCTTCACGAGGCTGGTGGAGACAACGAAGCTTTCTCCATTCCCGTCCATACTTTTTCATCTCTACAAAATTACCATTTATTTTTGTGAAGATCGAGGCTGAGTTTTTCGTAAAAAATTCATATTTACATTTATATATAAAAAGTGAGTAGGGCAGGGTGGGATGAAGATTTTGATAGGGTCGAGATGGTGATGAGGACGGAGAATACATTCTCTTCTCCAGTCCTGTTTCAAAAGAAATATCTCTCCTCTCTCTCCTCATTCCGTGTTTAAATTTGGATTCTCCACCCCATTCGAAGTGGGTCCCTAAGCTCCGGATGTTAAATGAACCATTTTGAACTCCTTTTTGTTTCTAACTTCAATTAATTAAGTTTAAAGGTCCTATAAAAGGCCCCATAACTTGGCTACTCAGTTCATCATCACAGCTTCCAATTTGGTTGAAGGAAATGGAATCCATAAACATGAGCTCTGAGGAAGCCATTATGGGTCCTGAAAAGCACACACTTTCCTTACATTTGGAGCCTCCAAAGGTTCAATGGAGGATGGGAAAGCCCCCAAATTATGAAGCTGCTAACAAGCTCTTTGAACATGGAAGAACAAAGGTTCTCTTTTTTCATTTTTTATCTGCCAGATCTAATATCATCTTTGTTTCTTAATTTGTTTTGTTCGTCGTAGGTTTGGCCGAAAGGATCGCTCGAAGAAACCGTGCAGAATATCGTAAAATCAATGCACGCCGAGTTAGCTTACATGACAAGATCGCAAGATTTCAAGAGCATAAACCCTAAAAAATTCGTAGTTTATATCAATGGTAATACTAATTTTGTTACGTTAAATATGTTTCAATCGAACCGTACTGTGATGTCCCACATTTGTTGGAGAGAAAAACAAACCACTGATTATAAGGGTGTGGAAACCTTCTCCTAGCAGATGCATTTTAAAGCTTTGAGGGGAAGCCCGAAAGGGAAAGCCCAAAAAGGACCATAGGCCGTTACACGAAAACTCAAATTTTCTACGAACTTCTGAAAAATACGGAGGAATTAGCTTAAATCATCTCCTCGTATTTTCGGTTTAAGTCGGGTCTAAAATATCCCAAAATTAACCTAATTCGGCTGGATGATTAAATGATGAATTAGTGAATTTGTTGTGTTTGGTAGTGTAGGAAGAGAGGGGCTCTCAGGTGAAGAAGCATTGAAGCTTGGAAGCTTCAATGCAATGCTGAAGAACACTCTACCAGAGGAATTCCATTACTTCAAAGCAAAGGAAGAGACATTTGAATCAACTTATAATGACTTCAAGACATGTTTTCCAAGAGGGTTTGCATGGGAACTTCTTCAGCTTTATTCTCCTCCTCCTTTGGTTGCTTTCAAGTTTAGGCATTGGGGTTTCTATGAAGGGCCCTATAAAGCTCATTCCCCTACTCGAGAAATGGTCGAGTTCTTCGGCATGGGAACTGTCAAGGTAACGTCGAGATTCAATAACGACCCTTCTTGTCAAATGTATCCCTATACATATTTAACGTCACGTTCATGAATGTTTGGGTTAGTTTGTGCCCTTATCGACTAATTTGATCATAACCTAATGATTTGTCTTCTCCACCAATCGTGAGAATAGTTTAAAATTTTAAGCAGGTGTATATCATCATGGAACTATAACAGCCCAAGTTCACTACTAGTAGATATTGTCCTCTTTTGAAACGTGTCTGCTAGGGAGAGGTTTCAACACTCTTATAAAAAAAATACTTCGTTCTCCTCTCCAACCGATGTGGGATCTCACAATCGACTCCCCTCTGAGTCCCAGCATCCTTGCTGACACTTGTTCTCTTCTCCAATCAATGTGGGACCACTCAATCCACCCTTCTTTGGGACTCAGCGTCCTTGTTTACACACCGCCTTGTGTCCACTCCCCTTAGAGCTCAGCCTCCTCACTGGCACATCACCCAGTGTTTGGCTATGATACAATTTGTAACAGCCCAAGTCCATCGATAGTAGATATTGTCTTCTTTAGGCTTTCCATTTCGAGCTTCCACACCCTTGTAAAACATATTTCATTTTCGTCTCCAACCGATGTAGGATCTCACATGAACTTAAGACGTTCTAAATCCCTTCTTGACATTTATTTGCACAGGTAGATTCATCATGGAAGGTTGAAGAAGTTCATGTGTTCTTTGATCCAGCTGAGCTATTTGGAAGTCTTTTGAAAGGCAAAAAAACAGCTTCTGAATCCAAAACTGATGATTCATCTGCCTCTGCCTGCCCACTCTTCAATCAACCAAAGTAGCTCCACAAACACAAACACAAACACAAACACAACAAAAGTTGGTCTGAAATAAAATGTGTTATGTTATGTTATAGTGTTTTTGGATTCAGTTCTTACGTTGTTATGTTTGTTAATTGTACCCTTTTTCTGTCGGTTCTTATTACATATGAATGATAATAATAATTTAGTTTGTTGCGGAAATTTTCGATTACAAATTAGAAAGAAAAAATAAATATATACTCTATTATCGGGGTAAAACAGACTATTGACCCAGTAATAATAATGAACGACCTATGAAAGATCGACTAGTATGCAATGATTATATCTATTGAAATAATTGGTTCTACCGTGTATAAGAGTTCATATCTAGAGTAGAGTTACTTATAGTTAATAAATAAAATTAATTAATTAAAGAGTTTATTTAATTATTTAATTAAATATCTTTTATTTAGACAAGTAAAAAAAAATTAAAGAGTATTTTTGAACACGTCAACTTTTTGGAAGTATTTTGATAACTTTTTATTTTCAAGGGTATTTTTGGAAGATCAGTGAAAGTTCAAGGACAATATTGTAATTTTAAACGATATTTTTTTTAAAAAATAAATAAATAAAATTCATGATTTTTTTTTAAAATATTGTTTTTAGCGTCAAGTGTTTGACAAATAATTATAGAGATGATGAAAAAGAAAGAGAAGGAAAGAAAAAAAAAACTAATACAAATCTCATTAATACTTGAAATATTATCATAATATCTTCCAAAAATAGTTAGAATATTATTAATATTATTATTCTACTCATTTATATATATATATATATATATATATATATATATATATATATATATATTAAAATTAAGTATTTAAATTTTTAGAAATTATGTTAGTATTATATTTTGAAATATTATTAAATTTATAAGGATGGTTTTGTGGAATTAATTATAGTGGAACAAAATAAGTAATAAATAATCAATAAATAAATTTAAATAAATAATAGACTATAATTATTCAAAAACTAATACTTCAACTAAATTAAATTATTTAATTGAATAAATTAATTAGTTCTTGAATAAATAATTAATTCCATTAATTAATATATTCTATCAATAAAAGAAATTAAGTAAATATATCAATCATACACTCAATATATATTAACCTACCACGATGTAAAAATTAATTATATTAATATTATAGCATTATTATCAATAAACTAACATATATATTTTTATCAATTATAAGTTTAATTTAAATATGCTTTTTAAAAAGTAAAATTAATTAAAATAACATAAAACAAAATATAGAAAACATCATATATATATATATATAAGAAATATAAAAAATGGGAGGATAAATTTTTTGATATGCTTTAAAACTTACATATTTGAGGAGAAAAGCGTCTCTACGTAGACCGTCTTTTAAATGTGGGATTACTACCGGTGTGACATGAGAAATGAATGGATGGCTACTTTGAAATTAAAAAAAAAAAATTAATATTTGATAATTTAATTAAATATATATTTTTAATTAATTGAATTATATTTAAATGAGAGGGAAAAAAGGAAAAATATTAAATCTAAATTACTTGTGTTTTTATCAAATAAAATAAAATATAAAATAACTAATTATGCATGTAAAAAAAACAATAGATCATAAATTTTAAACATATATATTAAAAATTATGGACTTCATTATTAATGTGTATTAAAAGATGAGTTTAAAAAGTCAAGGTCACAAGTCAACGTGTTTTTATTTATGTGGCCCAAGTGGGGGTTTTTGTTCTTTATATCTCTATAATTGTGTCCAACCAAATAATTTTTTTAGGTTAATTTAGGAGAATTTTCATTTTTTAATAGATTATAAATTTTTGAATAATTGATTTTATGACAACACTTAAGTAAATATAACCTAAAAATAGATTAAAATTTTTAAAATTTGAAATTTATTAATAAAACATAATAAATTTTTAATTTTACCTAAAAAAAATATTTGGTCACGGTAATTTGAATAACTTAAAACTCTACTAAGTAGAGATTTTTACTCCTTATAAGAAATGCTTAGTAAACCAACGTGGGTTCTCATAATCTACCGTCTTGAGGGGATCAATGTTCTCGTTGGCACACTGCTCGGTGTCTAGTTTTGATATTAATTTGGCACTTTTAGGGAAACAAATATTGTCAGTTTTGGCCCGCTATGTATCACCATTGAACATGGATTGTGAGATTCCACATTGATTAGAAAGGTATGAAAACGTCACCCTAACATACGCGTTTTAAGTTGACGATCATACGTAACGGGTCAAAACGGACCATGCTTTCATAGGTATCCCCACAGGGAAAGTCACATCCCCTCTTGCATTTGTGTATAAAACCCCATAAGTGGCCACCATGAGTCTCCACCATTGGCTCCTAGTTTGGTTGAAGAAGGAAACTAAACAAACAATGGAAGGCATTAACAACGTCACTAAGGGAAGCTCCATAGGAACCCATGGTGTTGTTCCCGACAAGTTCAGAGCTAACTTGCATTTGGAGGCTCCCACTGTTGAATGGAGGTATGGGAAGCCTCCCACTTATGAGTCTGCCAACCAGCTCTTTGAAGAGGGCCGATCCAAGGTTGTTTCCTTTTCTCTTTCCTACAAAGAATACTTTCTTCTCTTTCAAATCATTCATGTTTGTAATTTGAGGTGTTTTTGTTTATGATTAGGTGTGGCCAAAAGGATCTCTGGAAGAAACAGTGCAAAATGCTGTGAAATCATGGCAAGTGGAGATCAACAACAAGACTAGATTACAAGATTTCAACACCATAAACCCTGAAAAATTCAAGTTTTTTGTCAATGGTAAAGTTTTTTCTTATTTTGGTTAATGGATTTTGCCACTCGAATCATTAGGTTTAAACGGTGAGAGATCCCACGTCCATTGGAGAGAGGAATGAGTATCAGCCAGAACGCTGGACTCCAAAAAAGGGTGGATTGTGAGATCCCACATCGGTTGGAGAGAAAAACGAAACATTCTTTATAAGGGTGTGAAAATTTCTATGTAATTCCTAACATGGTATCAGAGTCATGCCCTAAACTTAGTCATGTTAATAGAATCCTCAAATATCGAACAAAATATTATGAGCCTCAAAGGTATAGTCAAAAGTGACTAAAGTTTCGAACAAATGGTGTACTTTGTTTAAAGACTCCAAAAAAGGAGTCGAGCCTCGATTAAGGGGAGGCTGTTCGAGGGTTCCAGAGGCCTCAGGGGAGGCTCTATAGGGTACTTTGTTCGAGGAGAGGATTGTTGAGAATTTTTGGGATGGAGTCTCGTATTAACTAATTTAGGGAATGATCATGCGTTTATAAGCAAGGAATACTTTCTCCATTGGTGTGAGGCATTTTAGGGAAGTCCAAAGCAAAGTCATGAGAGACGCGTATCGAACCCAACTCAACCCAACCCACCACCCGACTACTAATAAAAGCTCAAATTTATATGTCTGATATGTAGGAAGAGAGGGGCTGACAGGAGAAGAAGTGGTGAGGATTGGAAGCTTCAATGCATTGCTGAAGAGTGCTCTACCAGAGGAGCTCCATCACTTCAAAGCACACCAAGAGACATTTGAATCAGCTCATAATGACTTCAAGACATGTTTTCCAAGAGGGTTTGCATGGGAAGTCATAGAGGTTTATTCACCTCCTCCATCGATTGCCTACAAATTTAGGCATTGGGGTTTCTTTGAAGGTCCTTACAAAGCCCATTCCCCAACCGGCGAAATGGTCGAATTCTTCGGCATGGGAATTCTCAAGGTAACGTCGAGATTCAATAACGCTCTTTCTTATCAATCATATCCATATTTAACGCCACGATAAAAAAATGTTCGTGTCAACGTTTCAAAAATGGTTATGTAATGATGATATTTGTGCAGGTGGATTCATCAATGAAGGCTGAAGAAGTTCATATTTACTTTGATCCAACAGAGCTATTTGGAGGCCTTTTAAAGGGCAAAAACACTGATGGTTCATTTGTTTCTGGCTGCCCATTCTCTGATGCCCAGAAGTAGTTCAAAGAACACAATGATGGTCTGAAATGGAATAAAATGTGTTGTATGAATATCCCTATGGTCGTTTATGTTTATATGAATAATTAACAACTTTGCAACAATATCCATTAGCTCAGCTCAGCTCAGCTCAGCTGTTGGTTAGCAGTTCTTAGGTTGTTATGTTTCTTAATTGTACCCTTTTCTGTCGGTTGGTTGGTTCTTATTAAATATCAATGATATAATAAGTTGTTTATGGTTGTGAATTCGGGTTAATCACATTTCTTTCGTAAGTATATGACATACATCTCGACGTCGGTAACAGCTCAAGCTTATTGCTAGCAAATATTGTTCTTTTTAAACTTTTCCTTCCGAGCTTTCCCTCGAAGTTTTAAAACATGTCTTTTAGAGAAAGGTGTCTTTTGTTCCTCTCTCGAAACGACGTGGGATCTCACAATATCTTTTTCTCTCTAAATGACATTTCAAAATTTCAGTACAAAACAAAAATATATAGAAACCCTAGCAACTATGTTGAGACGTAGGCCTTGAAATTCTAAAATAGTCCACTTTTTTTTTTATGTAGTGTTGATGTAATAACCTAAGTTCACCGCTAGCAGATATGGTCGGTTACGTATCGTGATCGTCTCATAATTTTGTTCCTCTCTCCAACCAAGGTGGGATCTGATGCTAAGGGCAGTGCCTTGACACTACATATCAAAATCATAGAAATGTGCACTCCACGTATTTTTGAGTGATAGAATTTATATTTTCGCTTGTGACTCTTAAGGTTCGTTAGCACCAAAAATGGCATTGATAAGCTTGGGTACTATATTTAATGATAATAGACTTTATAATACACATAACAATGACTTAAGTTGTGGGGCTCGAAATAAAGGTTAAGAGACTTTTCAAGTATCGATCAAAATTAGGTTGTGCAATAAAAGTAAAGATAAGTAGACGTTTTTAATTAAGCTAAAGTAGACAATATCTACTAGCGGTGAGTAGAGTCGTTCATTGAGCGGTGTGGAAACGTCTCCCTAATAGTGTAACAGGGTAAAGTAGACAGTATCTACTAGCGGTAGGTTTAGGTTATCACAAATGATATCGTAGTCAATCACCGAGCAATGTGGAATCTCTAAACCTCACCTTATTGTAGTAAGAAAAATTAATTTGTATTATTATTTATAGTATTTAATTCAATAAATATTATATAATTATGAAGATATTAATTAAGTAGTCGATATTAACTACGAGAGATTTTTTATAACAAATAAATAATTATAATTACCAAAAAATGGAGTATTACTATGCATCCAAACCTGCCCGATTAATAGATTTTATCGATAAATATAGAAAAAATAATATTTTGGTGGGAAGATATTTTTTCTTTTTTTTGTTAGCTAATTGAGTTGAATTGTATCTATTTCATCCCATATTTATTAACTTATTTAATGTCTTCTTAATTATATTAAAGTTTATGCATTATTATCTGTAAAAATTATAATTGTATTAATATTAGTTAATGATTATAAATTTAATTCAAATATATCTTCTAATCCACAACTTGTAAGTCCATGAATTCAACTATGTATAATAATAATCATGAGATGTATAATAATAATGAGCGCGAAAAACTGACCACTAAAAAGCTTAATCAACCCAACCTAATCAGTTGTTCGATTTTGATTGGGTTGAAAATGTCCTTAACTATGTTCTATTCGGTTCTTGGATTCATAAGATTGAATCGACAAGACAACTTAGGTTAAAATCTGTAACGTTCTAGTCTAAGTCCACTACTTGCAGATTTATCCTCTTTAGGCTTTTCCTTTCGGGTATCTCTCTTGCAGACTTTTCCTTCCTTTCGGGTATCTCTCAAGGTTTTTCAAATGCATCTGCTAGGAGAGGTTTCCACACCCTTATAAAGAACGGTCCGGTCCATTCTCTTCCTCAACTGACATGGGATCTCAAATGTAACGGCCCAGATCCACCGCTAGTAGATATTGTGTTCTTTGAGCTTTCCCTTTCGAGCTTCCCCTCGAGACTTTAAAACGTGTCTGGTAGGGGAAGGCTTCCACACCCTTATAAATGGTAGTTTGTTCTCCTCCACAGCCAACTTGGGACATCACAGTTTCTATCAATAACATGTTCTCTTCTTTAGGCTTTCATTTTCGGGTTTCCCTCAAGGTTTTTCAAACGCCTGCTAGGGGGAAGAATGCTTCATTCTCTTCCCCAACTGACGTGGGATCTCAATTTTTGTAAACAGTTCAAACCCACCACTAGTAGATATTATCTACTTTTGCCCGTTACTTGTCGTCGTCGGCATCATGATTTTAAAACGCGTCTACTAGTGAGAGGTTTCTACACCCTTACAAGGAAGGTTCCGTTCTGCGTAAGAAATTATATTCGAAAACATGGAAGAGAGAGAGAGATGATGAGTCCTATGAAAGGCCCCATGAGTTTGCTACTCAGTTCATCACCACAGCATAAGATGAGGTGTGAGGAAGGCATTATGGGTGGCGATAAGTACAGAGCTTCGTTGCATTTGGAGGGTCCAACAGTTGAATGGAGGATGGGAAAGCCACCAAATTATGAAGCGGTGAACAAAGGTAGTTTCTTGTTGTTTACCAGATCTAATATCATTTGTGTTGCTTCATTTGTTGTGTTGCTTCATTTGTTGTGTTGCTTCATTTGTTGTGTTCTTCATAGGTGTGGCCAAAAGGAACTGTGGAAGAACAAGTGCAGAATATTGTCAAATCATTGCAAATGGAGTTCGCTTACAAGACTACACCACAAGATTTCAAGAGCATAAACCTTCACTCACAATTTCATAGCTTCTATCAATGGTAACATTTTTCTACTAAATATGTTCACTAGCAGATATTGTCTTTTTTCGGGTTTTCCTTTCGAACTTTCCCTCAAAATTTTTAAAACGCGTCTACTAAAGTATAGTGAATGTTTTGTCCTTGCTGACACACTGCCCGATGGCCACCCTTTAAAAGGAGTCTGTTAGAGAGAGGTTTCCGTGCCCCTTGTAAAAAATGTTTTATTCCCCTCTCCAACCGGTGTGGGATCTCAAAATTCACTTGGAGTCCACCCCATTTCAGGGCCAACGTCCTCGCTGGCACATCGCCTGGAGTTCATCCCACTTCAGGGCTTAGCGTCCTTGTGTGGCACACCGCTCAGTATCTGGCTGACTCTAATACCATTTGTAACAGCTCAAATTTACAATATTGCCCTCTTTGGGTATCTCAAAATTCACATTGAGTCCACCCCACTTCAGGGCCAGCGTCCTTGCTGGCACACCGCCTGGAGTCCATCCTACTTTAGGGCTCAACATCCTTGTTCGCACACCGCCCAGTATTTGACTTGCTCTGATAACATTTGTAACATCCTAAGTCCATACAAGAAAGATGTTTCCACACCCTTATAAGAAATTGGTTCGTTCTACTCTTCAACCGACGTGGGATCTCACAATTTCCATCCAAATTGATCATTTAGCAAATTTGTAGAGAGTTCTTATCTTTCAATCTACTAAGTTGGGTCTAACGTATCACAAAACTAACCTAACTCGATTCATAAACACCCTTAATTACATTACATGTAACTAACCTAACTCGATCCAACTATTACTCTAAATTAAGCATTAAAAGATGAATTAATTAATTACAGGAAGAACAGTCTCATATGAAGAAGCATTGAAGCTTGGAAGATTCAACTCATTTCTGAAGAATCCTCTACCAGAGGAATTCCAATACTTCAAACCACAAGAAGAGACATCTGAATCAACTCATAATGACTTCAAGACATGTTTTCCAAGAGGGTTTGCATGGGAAGTCATAGAGGTTTATTCACCTCCTCCTTTGATTGCCTACAAATTTAGGCATTGGGGTTTCTTTGAAGGTCCTTACAAATCCCATTCCCCAACCGGCGAAATGGTCGAATTCTTCGGCATGGGAATTCTCAAGGTAACGTTGAGATTCAATACCCACCTTTCTTATCAAAAACATTTCTTATAAGCGTGTGGAAACCTTTCCCTAATAGACGTGTTTTAAAATCGTGAGACTAACGATGATACGTAAGAGCCAAAACAGACAATAGGTGCTAGCAATGAGCTTAGACTGTTACACTGAGAAAATTTGTCAAAACCACCCCACCTGAATGGTGTGAAAGTTCTTTGTTTATAATCAAGTATATTACAAGTATATGGGAAGAGTAATAAATGGAAAGATATCCAGATATTTGCCTATAATAAAAGATTAAATATGATATATATGGCAAACTATAGTTCAATACTAAATATCTTTAACACACAAACGTATCTCTATACATATTTAATGTTGCGCTTATAAATGGTCGGGGTCGGATTAGTTTGTGTTCTCGTCAACTAATCGAAATGTTATTTATTTGGACAGGTAGATTCATCATGGAAGGCTGAAGAAGGTCATGTGTTCTTTGATCCAGCTGAGCTATTTGGTGGTCTTTTGAAGGGCAAAAAAACAGGTGATTCGTCTGCCTCGGCCTGTCCACTCTTTGATCAGCTGAAGTAGTTCCACAAACACAACAAAAGTTGATCTGAAATGAATAAAAATGTGTGTCTCCGACATTCCCACCACTGTCCATTAGTTCTAATCTTGTTTGTTTGTAGTTCTTACGTGTTGTTGTTATGCTTGTTCGTTGTATCGTTTATGTTGGTGTCTATTAAATATGAATGATAATAAGTGCGGTTTGTATATGATATTAGGTTTGTATATGATATTAAGTTGGAACGGTCTTTACATTCTTATAAGGAATGGTTCGTTACATTCTCCAACCGACGTGGGATCTTACAATCTACCCTACTTGGGGTCAGCATCCTTATTAGCACATTGCTCGATGTCTTGCTCTGATACAATAAAAAAAAAAAACATTTTAAAAAGAAAGGAAGAATGTTTTGAGTTACGAGAGAGGGAAGGTATGCACCTCGTATCTAGAAGTGTTACCGGGCAAAGCGAAGAACGGTAGGTAGCTTCTCCATCCCAATTTTCATCTCTCGTTAAATTTTTCTATGTGATCGAGAAGATGATTTCTTTGTGAGAAATTCACAGTTGTTACTTCTTTGATTTTGAAAGAGAATCGTTATTGAAAAGGTGATTGAGATGAGTTGCAAAAACGTACATGTATATGTGTATGTACATGTATATATATATATATATATATATATATATATATATATATAAAATATAAAATATAATACCACTTGTCACAATCGCACTCTTGATGATAGCGGACTTGCGATTGTGCGGTACTTACTTTCCAACGACAAGTGAACTAAGCCAATTCGTTCTTACGTTGTCTATGACTAAGCGACGTATGCTCGAGCCTCTGGTCTCAGTTTAAGAAAAAGGTTTTAGAATACGATGACAGAGAGAGATTTTTGAAAGAGGGATTTTGAAAGAGACATATATGCAAGCAAGAGAGTAACAACAACTACTCACACTATATAACTTTTGGGAGGGAGAAGATATATATACATCATACATATATATATATATATACATGCATACATATATATCTATACATGCATACATATATATCTATACATATATATATATATATACACATACATATTTCTACTAAATTATTTAATTAGATAAACTTAACTCATATGCACTATTAATTAATTAATTAATAGTTTTATTTAATTCTTGGAGTAGGAGTAGGCTAATAAATAATTGGTTTAATTTGATTTAATTTATCATTATATCAAATTATCTAAGAGTACTAAAAAAAATTTGACAAAATATTAAATAAAACAAAGTAACAACTTCCTATATAGTACTCTATGGTCTAAGAATTTAAACACAACTATGTTTTGTATGTGTTATGATCTTTATTCTCTATGCAGTCACCCCGTACAGGGGTGTCTTACTAAAATAGAATTAGTACACGGCTTGAGTATTTTAAGAAATACCCAGTAAGTGACCCCACTATTAGAGTCGAGGAATGCAAACACTATTAGGTTCAAGGGATGCAAACACATACAACTCATGATTATCGTTAAAACCATCATAGAGGTGGTCTTCAGTCCGAACAAAATTGGATATGTAGTACTTCCCTACACACGTCTCACACATGCAAGCGTGAGCCCCCAAGCGGTTTGCACCTCCTGGACCCATCATAGTTGGGCTAATTGTCCGTAATCGAACATCCAGAGGTAAGCAAAACCCTGAGTATCATGCGACGCATGATGATCATCATCATCGTAATGTATAAGATCCCTATAGTTTTCATCTTTAAATCATTCTTATGACACAACCATATGCATCACTTACACATTACCCTAGATAACGTGCATGCATTGACCTTCATACGCTCATCATCATTAACATCCATTTGGGTTGTGCCTTAGAAAACTCGTCATATGCATCATGACATTTAGTACATGCACATCATCTTAGTATGAAATTGTTGGGTTTTATGTCCTAAAACTCATAGTTTGTAAACAAAGATATATTCTATTTTCAATAAAGTTATTATTGATGTTTATTCAGTAAAAATTGTTATTGAATAAAGTGAACTTTACGATCATTAATCATAATCCAATAAACTAAGAACACTCTGGCTATAGTATGATTACTTGAACTATATGTAGAGACATAAGAGTGGATCAAGTTCAAGTATATAGTCAAAATGATCTATAGTATAAGGATAAAGCTGAGTACCTTATTCTGGGACACTATGGATGCGGCCCACTTTTGTATATGATATAAACAATGTGATCACTAAATTGCGCATGTGGAGACATGTGAGTGGGGGCGTCCTATGCAATGAGTATTGCATAAGATCGGACCATGAAGAAAATCACTCTCACTTTATAAAGTCGTTTACTGTTGAGACTGATTTTCTTTTCATTTGATAACCTAGGTAACTCGGTTTTAATCCTGAGCTAACCATGAACTCCTGTTTATTTGGAATTATCCTTAGATTTGCATGGGTGAGAGTGGCTCTAGTTCGCCGACTCAACAGGCCTCCCATTTCAGGGGTAAGACTGGGTGAATGGCTGGGGACGTGGGGTGCAAGACGGAATTCACTCCTACCCACTTTTAGGGATAGAAGAAAGGTAGTTCCCTTAAGCACTGACTCCAGGTCTTGAACAAGGGGCCCCACCCTCTCATTGGCCTGAGAGGGATTCGGTTTACTAGTTGGACCACAAACCAATTGTTCATTAGAGGATCAGTGAGACATAAGGAACAAGAAGTAACTTCAGGGGTAAAACGGTAAATTGACCCAGCTCTAGTTACGAACAACCTGTGAAGGATCGACTTACTAATCATGGTTATATCAGATGGACAGAAATATATCTATAGTGAGGGGAGTGCAACTACTAGGCTATAGTGGAGTGTCCTAGTAGTTAACGAATGTTGGTTAACCAGGTTAATGAGTTTAATCGGTTAATCTTGGATCGTTGGAGCCCATGATCTATAGGTCCATTAGGTCCCTCTGCTAGCTCATATCGGACTAAACCATAGAACAGTGTGACGAGTGAGTTCGAAGTGTTCAAATTCAAATTAGGGAATATGCGTTACATATATACGATATATTTAACCGCAATTTTGTTTTATTTACGAATTAAACGAAAAGAGAGAATCTGAGATATTTAAATAAAATTTAAATATCTTAATCAATTATGTGTCGGAATTGATTGGGATTGGCATTTAAATTAATATTAAATATTAATTAAATAGTTTAATTAATTACTTTAATTTGAAATTTATTATTCAAATTAATTGTTGAATTAAAATGAAGAAAGTCAAAATGTTGACTTTCATCTAATGGAAAAGTCCATGTTAGTGGAATTTTGAGGTGTCAAAATTTGGTTTAACCAAACTTGGCCAAATAAACCCCACAAGTTTGAGTGGAATTTTGAGTGTCAAAATTTGGTTAACTCAAACATGCATGCTTGCCGCATAATCCCAAACATTTGAGTGGAATTTTAAGTGTCAAAATTTGGTGATCTCAACTTGACTCTTTACATAGAGTGATCATGATATTTGGAGGGGATTCTTCATCTTGATGAAAAACTTTGAGAAAAACTTCTCACGAACACTCTCTTTCACATATACAAAATCCCTCCCAAGTTTAGTCACTCACCGGATTCCACAATCCCGTTCTAAGGCCGGAGGATAGTGGAGAAGACACTAGTGGTGGTTCGAAACCGGTTCGTGAGGCAAAAGGAGTTTGTACTACAAAAGGTTAGTATTTAAACTCATTAAGTTTTAATACTTATGAACATGCTAGTAATTTACAATAATTGATGTTCTAAAAGTGCCTAAGATCCAAATTGCTTCCGCATGTGTTATATTAACACCATCAGAAATATCATCATATTAAGTCATCTCATCATCATATCGCCATAGTACATAAATCATAAATGACACATGCAAGGGTCACTAGACACGTTTCGTCATATATAAGGTAAGTCTTCCGACTGAGCCGATAGTAAAGCCACTTACATGGTTAGCTTTAGCCGACATTCTATCCTATTTTCAAGATTAGTTCGACTTTAGAGATTCCACCAAATTAAGAATTTCCAGAGATATTCTACGAACTTCCATCCAGCTCGAGTGTGAGAGAAGAAAGAGAAAGAGAAGTTGATTGGATAGAATACATGGACATGAAGCAGTCCTATAAAAGGCCTCATAACTTGGCTACTCAGTTCATCATCACAGCTTCAAGTTTGGTTGAAGGAAATGGAATCCATTAAGAAGAGCACTGATGAAGCCATTATGGGTCCTGATAAGTACAGAGTTTGGTTACATTTGGAGGGTCCTACAGTTGAATGGAGGATGGGAAAGCCACCAAATTATGAAGCTGTTAACAAGCTGTTTGAAGATGGAAGAACAAAGGTTCTGTTTTTTCATTTTTTCTCTGCCAGATCCAACATCATCTCTGTGTTCTTAATTTGTTTTGTTTGTCGGGTAGGTGTGGCCAAAAGGGTCTCTTGAAGAAACAGTGCAGAATACTGTAAAATCATTGCAAGTGGAGCTTGCTAACAAGACTAGACCACAAGATTTCAAGATCATAAACCCTCAGAAATTCCACGTTTTTGTCAATGGAAAGTTCTTAGTGTTCTTAGTGTTCTTCGTTATGATTGTAATCAATTAACTAATTTCATCTCTCCGGCAGTGCAGGAAGAGAGGGAGTCTCAGGTGAAGAAGCAGGGAAGCTTGGAGTCTTCAATGTATTCCTGAAGAACTCTCTACCTGAGGAATTCCATTATTTCAAAGCAAAGGAGGAGACATTTGAATCAACTTATAATGACTTCAAGACATGTTTTCCAAGAGGGTTTGCATGGGAACTTCTTGAGGTTTATTCACCTCCTCCTTTGATTGCCTACAAGTTTAGGCATTGGGGATTCTTTGAAGGTCCCTACAAAACCCATTCCCCTACTGGTGAAATGATCGAATTCTATGCTATGGGAACTCTCAAGGTAAAGTCGAGATTTCGTGCTGGTTTATGAATGTTCGGGTCAGTTTGTGCTCTCGTCGACTAATCCAAATCAAACTTTTGATGTCCTAAATCCCATGATATTTTGAGGATTTACAAAAATTGTGTACCAATGAATCTAATGATATTTGTGCAGGTAGATTCATCAATGAAGGTTGAAGAAGCTCATTTCTTCTTTGATCCAGCAGAGCTATTTGGAGGTCTTTTGAAGGGCAAAAAAACTGCTTCTGAATCAAAAGCTGTTGATTCAT